CCCCAAGGGGGGAAAAAAACCCTAATTCACTGTCTGAAAACTAACTTCCTTCCATTCTTCCTTCCTTGCTTTTTTTTTTTTTTTAACCGGGGCATACCCAATGGTTTTCAGGGCTTAGTGCTGGCTCACTCTGGGTAGGGCTCAGGCAACCATATGGGGTGCCGGAGATCGAACCCAGGTCAGCCGCATGCACAAGTGCCCTACCCAGTGTGCTGTTGCTCTGGCCCCAATAGCAAGTTCTTACAGAGAGCATGATAGGGGAAAATTTGTACTGTATGATTCAGACTTTTAAAAGTGCGCGCGCGCGCATGTGTGTGTCTGTGTGTGTGTGTGTGTGTGTGTGTGTGTATGTGCGCGTGCGTCACACTCAGTGTTGGAGGCTGCCTCTATGTTTGTGATTTGCTGTCTGCTGTGCTTGCAGGACCTTATTGGTGCTGGGGATTGAACCAAGTTCTGCCACATATAAGGCAAGGAACCCCTGTGTCTCTAGCCTCAGTAAATGTAAATGAGCGTCTTTAGCAACTTGAACATTAAATTAATCCGTGCCCTCTCTTCCCTTACTGGTGAAAGCTTACCAAGCAGGGAACCTGGAGTGATGTTAGGATGAACAGGCAAGATAAAAACATCTTCAGAGAAGGGCAGGGTGACTTTGCTAGTTTCCTTTGGCCTTTGTGTTTATCTGTCAAGTATTTTGGGTTCTCGTGATGACATTTTGTATATCCTTCTTTAGGATATTTTGTATATCCTACAAATGAGAAAGGTCTATCTCAGAGTACCAATAGGTTCTGTCAAACATCCCAATATTCTCAACCCACCTCAATGGATTTCTTCCTTGTCAATCGAATGTCACAATTTGTTTCTGTTTCTGGGTGGCACTGTGAGATATTAGGACCTTACTCCTTGCTCTGTGTTTAGGGGTCACTCTTGACGGTGCTGGGGGGATCATATGCTGTGCCAGGGATTGGATCAGGTCTGCTGTGTGCAAGGCAAGCACCTTATTCACTCTCTCTGGCACAGTTCATTTTTTTTTCCCTTTTGGGTCATACCCAGAGATGCTCAGGGGTTACTCCTGGCTCTGCGCTCAGGAATTACTCCTGGGGGTACTTGGGGGACCATATGGGATGCTGGGGATTGAACCCGGTAGGCCACTTGCATGACAAATGCCCTACCCACTGTACTATCTCTCTGGCCCCTCTGGCACAGTTCTTGATTCGAAAATGATTCATATAACCTAAGTGTGATTTGCAGAGAAATAGCTTAAAGCAAAATGGGAGGGAAGAAAATTAACATTTTGAAGGTATCTCTCTCTTTTTTTTTTTTTTTGCTTTTTGGGTCACACCTGGCGATGCACAGGGATTACTCCTGGCTCTGCACTCAGGAGTTACTCCTGGCGGTGCTCAGGGGACCATATGGGATGTTGGTAATCGAATCCGGGTCGGCCGCGTGCAAGGCAAACGCCCTACCCGCTGTGCTATCTCTCCAGCCCCTTGAAAGTATCTCTTACATACTGGACACTCTTAAATATTCAGTAGTCATGAAAATTGTCTAATATGAAGTATTTTTTTGTTTTGTGCCCATACTCGGTTGTGCTCAGGACTTACTCCTGATTCTGTGCTCAGGGATCAGTCCTGGTCTTGCTTAGAGCATCACAAGCAGTACTGGGGTTCTAACCTGGGGTGGCCACTTGCATGACAAACACCCAAGCTGCCGAATTATTTCTCATACCTTAATTTGAAATTTGACTGAAATACCTACTCGTTGTTCTTTTCTTCTCTTCCTGTCCTCTTTCTTACTTTGTCGTTTGTGCCAAATTACTGCACACAGTTCTGTCTTCAAATGACTCTGATTTAGATAGGAAGACAGACAAAAATATATTATGACTTTTACTACATTATCATTGTAATCATCATCATCCTGATGACAATAGCAGCTGTTCTTTATTGCACTCATGTAAGTGTAAGTGAATCTTTTCACTGGGCCCTCATCAAACTTGTTAAAAAGGTACTATCCAAAGTATAGTGAAGAAGTGTGAGGTTTCAGGGCTACTCAGGTCTTTTATATATTCATTTATTTGACCAGACCCAGTGGGGGTGGTGGCGTACTCTCAGCCACATGCAAAGCAAGTGCCTTAACCCCTCGACTGTCTCTCAGGCTCAGGGCTGATTTTAATTATTCTCTCCTATTTCTGCCTCTTGTAGCTCTTCTTGATAATGAAAGAGTTTAGGCGATCTTATAATTTGTAGCATATAATTATATATTATATATGGCATATCACATATAGCAGTACTGTCAGAGTCATTTGAGCTTCTCTGTGCATAGCATAATAATTTTGCATACAAAATAGAACAGTTTGCTATGGAGTAAGCTCTCAAAGAGCTTTCTTCCTGGCTTAGGTTCAGGATTATGCCACTGTTTATCAGAAGGTTCTTTACTAAAACAAATGAAGATAAGTTTTCCTTTGTTTTCCCCTTTATGTCACCTTTCTTCCACAACATTCTGTTTGTGATTCGGGTATTTCACATTCTTAACAGTTGCAAGCCTGCTTCCAAAACTTGAGCTCCATCTACTAGATCTCTGCTAGATCTAGCGTCTTGAATGTGGCCTTTTGCTGGGCAGTCCTCTTCTGATAAGGATTCTTTTGAACAGGGTGGGGGTGGGATGAAACCCAGAGCTTAGGGTGAGCTCTCATCCCCTTGACCTCTGCCCCGTTTCAGAGTTTATGGTGACTTGGTTGGGACTCCCTATGGAGCCTAGAGTTTAGGACTTGTTTACAATTGATGAAAAGATAGTTGCATTCAAAGGAGGTTGTTGGGTCCTTGGATAGTCATGGATCTTTGCCATTATCTCTGATAGGTGCAGAGAATGCTTGAACATCTGGGTCTAGAGATTTGTAATGGATGACTAAGAAGGAATGAGAAGAAATTCTGAAGCTAGATAGACTGCTGAAATGGTTCTTTCCATGGGAGGGGTATTACAGCAACAGTTTGAGAGTCGAGAGAAATTCAGAGAAACCTGTGACTGTACCCTGTTAATGAGCTTGCATTTTCAGGCTTGTCACAGGCCCATATGGCTGCCTTCATCCTTTTGTTTCCTGAACATTTTCTTTAGGCATCTGAGTTTGCAACTCCCACATTGGAGAAGGATCAATGTGGAAAAATGTGAATTCCAGTGAATTTTAAGAAGTGACAGATATGCAAAATAAATATTCACAGATAATTCCTTTTAGCGGTTACAATACTGGAAACAGCTTAAAAATTATTTTAAAAAAGTAATGGGGCTGGGGCTGGAGCGATAGCACAGTGGGGAGGGCATTTGCTTTGTACGTGGTCGACCCGGGTTCGATTCCCAGCAACCCATATGGTCCCCCGAGCACCGCCAGGAGTAATTTCTGAATGAAGAGCCAGAAGTAACCCCTGTGCATTGCCGGGTGTGACCCAAAAAGAAAGAAAAAAAAAGATTAGTGGGGGCGTACTTGCTGAATGTAAAGCCTGAGCTCTGCTCTGTCCACAGCCAGCTCAAAATTTTATAGGGGACTGATTAAATGGATACTCATGGTTTATTTATTTGTCTAATTTTTTTGACTTGGGGCCACACCCAGAGGTGCCCTGGCTCCCTGCTCAGGAATCAGTCCCGAGAGGGCGATCATGGGGTGCTGGAGATGGGACCTGGGTTGGCCGTGTACTACTAGGCCAGCACCCTGTCCTCTGCACTGTTTGTTTGATCCCTAAATGTATATTTATGTAAGGGAATACTATAGAATGGTAAGATCGCTTTTTATTTTTTTTTTAATTTTATTTATTTTTATGAATTTATTTATTGAATCACTGTGAGAGCAGTTACAAAAGCTTTTGGGTTTAAGTCTCGGTCATACAATGATGAAACACTCGTCCCTTCACCAGTGCACATTTTCCACCACTAAAAACCCCAGTATACGCCCCATCTCACACCCTTCCCCTGCCTGTGTGGCAGATGATTTCCACATTACTCTCTCTCTCTACTTTGATTCCATTCAATATTTCGACACCAGACCCACCATTATTATTTGAGATTTTACCCCAACACTCATATCTGCCAAAAAGGCAACTATTAAGACAATTTCTTTTCTAAAATAATTCTTTTGTAATTATTTCTATTGATTATGAATAGCATATGATGTTGTGGCCATGCGATTTTGGAATTCTGAAATCTTAATAATTAAATCTGGAGGGATTTCTGCCAAAAGCCGCTGGGTTCCAAGATTTGTTTCTGAGTCTCTGGGATCATGGCCTAAGCAGCTTGTTGAGTAGCCAGAGTCGCTGTTTGTGAGCGGCCAAGATAGGTTTCTAGTATAGAAGATACACTGAAATGTTTCTTATACCTCTGGGCAAATAGTGCCATAGGATTAAAAAAGAAAGTTTCATTATTTTTATATTTAAGATAAACATTGTATTATATATATACATATGGGCTGGAGCGATAGCACAGCGGTAGGGCGTTTGCCTTGCATGCAGCCAACATGGCCGACCCGAGTTCGATTCCTCTGTCCCTCTCGGAGAGCCCGGCAAGCTACCGAGAGTATCTCGCCTGCACGGCAGAGCCTGGCAAGCTACCCGTGATGTATTCGATATGCCAGACACAGTAACAACAAAGTCTCCAATGGAGACGTTACTGGGCCCGCTCGAGCAAATCGACGAACAACGGGAGGACAGTGACAGTGATATGTATATATATATATATACACACACACACATATATATATATATATATATATATATATATATATATATTTGCTTTTTGGGTCACACCTGGCAATACACAGGGGGGGTTACTCTTGGCTGATGCACTCAGGAATTACTCCTGGCAGTGCTCGGGGGACCATATGGGATGCTGGGAATCGAAACCGGGTCGGCTGCGTGCAAGGCCATATATTTAAAAAATTTAAATATAGTTTTGGGTAAGATACATGTTTTTTAACATGCCTCTTAGATTAAGAAAAAATTTCAAGTTATTTGTTTGTTTTAACTTGTAGTAGTACTTAGTGTCCAGCAGAAATCTCTCTGTCAGTTAAACAATATCCCAGTTGTGGAGCTTCTCTTACTGTTACAGGAGATAATGACACTATCCAGTCACTATTGCTGTGGCAACTGTGCCAGGAACTATCAGAGGAAAACTGCGCATAAACTGCTGGTGCTGCGGCAGTCATGTCTCAAGAGGATGATGCTTTTTCTGCAAGTCTAGTGTGTTCTAGGGTACACCAACTCAGACCATAGTCATAGTAAAGCAATAAATATCTGGAGAGCTAGAGAGATAGTCTAGAGGTTTAGGTTCTTGCCTTGCATGTGACCAGCCCCAGTTTGATCCCTGGTATCGCATGGTTCTCCAGTACCTCAGCACAGCTCTGAGTAAATCCTGAGCACTACTGCATGGGTGGGACTCAGGACCTAGCTGTGTGCTTCCCCCTCACCCCTACCAAAAAACCTCAGTCCTGGATTCAATTCCTGATACTACATGGTACTGTCAGGAATGTCCCTTACTCTGATAAACAAACAAATCTGACTCAGTTCAGCTGCCAAGTTCCCAAGACTGTTCTGCCAGTTTATTTATTTGATCTGCCCAGACTCCAGCTTCCCTCTTGGATCACAGACTTGACTTTAAGAATTCTCTTATCTTGAAATTGCTCCCAGGAAGAGGAATCGGTGTCCTCCAGACACAGAGCTGCTTTTCCAGGCTCCGCCATGTAACTCAGCCTTCATTCACTTATCATGCTATTGGAATTGGCCTCCTTTTTAGTGTCGGAGAGTGATGAGAGCCATAGTAGCTTCTTATTGGAGTTGTGCAGTACCAGGGTTCCATTGTGAAAGGCACCCTAACAGAAGAGAACATGATGCTGTGAGTTTGTATATTGACTTATTTCCACTTCGTTTTGTTGAGTGACCATAGTGACTCTGAAGCTCAGTTTCTTCATCCATATTCACTGTTAAGAGTTGTTTTAAAAAGCAAGTGAGGGGGCAGGTCCGCCGTTTGCCTTGCGTGCTGTAGATCCTGGCTCAATCCTTGGCATCCCTTTTGGTTCTGCTGGAGAAATTCCTGAATGCAGAACCAGGATTAACCCCAGAGCATTGCCAGGTGAGAACCAAAAGGCAAATAAAAAGGGGGGGGCACGTGAGGGGCCTGGAATGATAGTTCTGTGGGTAGGGCATTTATCTTGCACCTGGCTGATTTGAGTTCGAGCTCCTGCCTCTCATATGGTCCCTTGTGTACTGCAGGGGGTAATTCTGAGTGCAGAGGCAGGAGTATTCCTCAAACATCACTATGTGTGACCCAAAAAGAATATACCCAGCACCCTTGGTGTTCTAAGCACCAAGCCAGGAGTAGCATCTGAGCACTGAACCAATGGGGTTTGTGTGAGAGAAAAGTGAGATACACAGAGTGAATTAAATAGCATATAACTCCTTAGTCATTCCTTTGCTGAAATACATGACAAAGGGTTTCTGGCTTACTAATATTTAGTAATCACTTTCTTGTATGCTAGTGATTTTAAAACATCAACTCTGTGTAGATGTTAACTCTTGTTCTTCCCTATTTTAGTGATTAGAAAATGGACAGATTAGAACTTGACCAGGGTCACACAGCTGACAGTGGGCAGAGTGGAAATCTGTGATTCTCTAGGGCCAGTGTTCTTTTTACTTCTTTTGGTTTTGGGGGCCACACTCTGCAATGCTTCAGGGTTACTCTTGACTCTGCACTCGGGAATCACTCCTGGCGGTGCACAGGGGACCCATTAGGATGTTGGGGATCAGACCCAGTTAGTTGGCCATGTACAAGTCAAGTGCCCATCCCGCTGCAGTATTGCTCTTTTTTTAAAGATTATTTTAAAACTATGTTATGATAAGGCCCCAAACCAACCTTCCCCCCCCCCCAGCCCAGTGTTATGATTTACATGTAGTTAACATGGATCTGAAGTGTAAGAGTGAAGCAGTTTTCACATATCCTTACTTCCTCGTGATTCGTATTCCATCAAGGTATGGTTCATTGCCATTTCTTTTTTTCTTTTTTTTTTTAAATATATATTAGTTCACAATAGTTCATAATTTTTTCAGAAAATTCCCATATGTTTTTTATTTTGATGATCCTGTTATTCTACCCCAAGAGTTAAGAATTTTTCATTTCTGTCATCATACATAGATGGCAGTTGTTCCTATTCTGAAATGCCATATAAATGGAATTATTCTTGTTTTCTGTTGTGTCTCATATCTCAAGCATTACGAGACTTGTCTATGTTGTTGAAGTTCTTTCTATTGATGTATTCTGTGGGCTGTCATCACAATTTTAACAGTTTATCTGTCATTTTTTGGTTTTTTTTTTTGGGTGATCCCTGGTAGTGTCTCAGAACTAAATTCTGCTTTGTTTTGGGTCACACTGTGAGTCACTCAGGTTTTATTCCTGACGTGGTGCTCAGGGATTGATCACTCCTGGCAGGGCTCTGGGGCTGTGCTGGGAATCGAACCTGGTCATATACCTACCAGGCAACTTAGTTTAATATTTCTCTGGCCCGGTTTTATTTTTGACTATTTGAAGTAAGCATACATAGACATCATACAAGTGTTTTATGGATATGTTTTTATTTCTCTTAGACATATATCTAGGGGTGTTGGTTTATGTGATGTGTATTAAAACTTTTCTATAAAATATTTTTTTTCAGATATATTTACAGTTCAGTGGTGTTTGAGTTGTAGTTTTTGTTCATCTTTGTGAGCATTTGGCATTACCATTTAAAACAAAAAATTTATATTTGGGGGAGAGGCCACACCTGGCGATGCTCAGGGGTTACTTCTGGCTCTGCACTCAGGAAATACTCCTGGCGGTGCTCAGGGGACCATAAGGGATGCCGGGAGTTGGACCCAGCTTGGCCGTTTGCAAGGCAAGGGCCTTACCACCAGTATTATCTCTCCAGCCCACCACTGAAAAATTGTTTTGTGTGTTTATTTTGTTGTTGGCCCATACTCTGCTGTGCTCAGGAATCACTCCTGGAGAATTCAGGAGATATGGTATGTCAGGGATCAAACCTGGGTCAACCTTGTTGGTGTGCGCTCTCTCTCTGGACCCATAGCTTTATTTATTTATAATGTTTATGTAATTTTTGGTTTTTGGGGTCACACCCAGCAATGCTCAGGGATTACTCCTGGCTCTGCATTTAGGGATTACTCTTGGCGGCGCTCGGGGGACCCTATAGGATGCCAGGGATTAAACCCAGTGAACTGCTTGCAAGGCAAATGCCCTAGCCACTGTACTAGTGCTCTGTCCCTGTCTAGCCACATAACTTTTAAAATTGTAAAGTTCAGAACTGGGGAGTTAGCTCAAAGGGCTATAGCGCATGCTTTGCATGGTCCCCTGAGCACTGCCAAGAGTGACACCTGGTGCAGCCTGTAAGCTCTGCTGTAAAATCGCTCTCCAAAACAGAATGTAAAATTTAGATATTCTAATAAGCACCTGATTTCCCTGATACCTAATTATGCCAACCATTTTTCATGCACTTAAATTGGATATTGATATATCATCTTCAGTCCCAGGGATGTGACTCCAGTTTGGAGCATATGGGCAAGGCCCTGTGTTTGATCCTTAGCGTTGCCTTGTCTGAATCCCTCGTGCCTCCTCCTAGTCATGTATATGTATATGTCACTATATGTGTACGCACGCCTGTTTATGTATATATGCGCCCAGCCCCAAAGAAAGCTTATACTTTGTTTGCTTTTGATCCCAAACTCAGCTCTACTCTCAGGGTCACTCCTGTCCCTGCTTTGGGATCTCTTCTGGTGGTGCTCAGGAGTTTGTATGGGATATTGGTGATCAAACCCAGGCTAGCTGCTTATAAAGCAAGTATCCTTTCTGACTCCTTAAGGTCTGTTTTCTTAACCTGTGCTATAACTGCCTCTAAAATAATTAGCTTATTTTTTTTCTTTTCTATTGTTGATTTACAGTTCTGTCAGTAATAGAGTTTCAGGTATACAGTTTTCCAGCAACACTTAGCACTTACAGAGACTCTACCAGTGTTTCAAGGTCTCCATCCACCACTCCTCTGGCAAACTCATTTCTGTAGGCTGTCTTTTTCTTCTGTAGGGTGCTACCCCTGGGCATTTGTTAGTCCCTTGCTATTGAACCCATCCTTTGGGACCTATTCTTTTGATTCTATTTATGTAAAACTTAGTTTCTGGTGTACTCACAAAGCAACTAGCTGGTTTCATGGAGTTTAGGCGCTTCCTATTCCAAATTTGAGGTTTCCATCTAGTGGTCTCTTCCGGAAGCACAGGGAGAGCCTGTAATGAGTTGGTATTCCCATGTAGTCCAATAGGTGGCGATAGGCCCTCGTTGAAGTGCCAGTTGTGACTGAGTGAATTGAAAGAAGAAAACGGTGCTTGTGGAGTTTATAATTAAACATAACAGGGGGGAAAAAAAGGGTTTTTTCCCCCCTGAAAAGTAAAACATAATGTTTTAAAATACAAGAGAAGAAATGAATCTTTAGCTTGTTCTGAGGATGTGTATAAGAGCAGCCTAAATACAGTCTGTGGGGGGATGGCTTAGCATGCAGGAGCCTAGGATTCCTTCTGCGGCTTCACCTGGTCCCCCAAACACCTCCTTAGGAGTGGCCCTTGAATACCATTGGATGAAGCCCCAAAACTAAAAGCACAGTACAAAAGACGAAAAAAATAAGTCGGGAGAATTAGGTTTTCCTGAACAATTAACGTGAAGGTGATGTGAGTTTATAAGAAGCCTGGGTAGTGCTAACAGGGCTGCGGAAGTGAAGAGAGAGGGGCTGGGGCGGGTTGCTAGCGCTTCCTGGAATGCTAGAGAAAAGGGCAGAGGACACCCGGACTGGATGCCCTGTGGCCTGCCCGGCAGCCTGGAGCAGTTGCTTGATGATGGCAGCGACACCCACTTTTTTTGGCCCTAGCTTGCTTACTTTGAGCCCGTGGTCTAATAACCTTCCAGTTGGTGCCTTCAGTTGAAAATAATCTGTGTTGGCTTCCGTGGCAGGTGGGGGCGGGCATTCAATTGGCCACTCAGGCCCATCTACTCTCTCCATCCTGGAATCGTGGTCTTGTTTGCCTGCAGCATTGCAGCAGAGAAGCCCATGCTGATGAACGCCATTGTCTTTCCTGGGGACCTTGAGTTTCCACATTTTGGCAAAATGCCAAGGGTGAGGTGGTTCCTCCAATCCGTGCTGTGGTTCCTACCGTGATTCACAGCTTGAAAAATATGGTCAGTGGTACTAAAGTCGATAGTTTCAAAGATCTTAGAGTTACGGAAGCTGTGCGGGGTGGTTTGGTGGCCATAGAAGGGTGGGTTTAAGTCACTGAGATCTTGAGGAAGTATAGTCTCATTGTTCGTAATGTTTGAAGATCAGTCTTTAACAGCTGGTTATTTGCTTTATTATTTGAGTGTTCTCAGATTATGTGTGATCAGACTGGTATTTGAATAAGACTCAAAAATTTTATTGAAAATTCTACTATAATTTATGTACAACAAATATTTCAGGTAGGATGATAAATGTGCTGTAGGAATTGAGGCATTGTTTATGTTGATTCCTTGCGCTCCCCCCCGCCCCCCATGGCTCTCCCGCCCCAACACACGTCCCATATGGTCCCCTGAATCTGTCAGGAGTCACAAGTGTGCTGAATGTTGCCCATAAACAAAAATAAAATGGAATAAAAGAAAAGCAATAATAGTAACCTTTGGAAACTGCTGCTAATTTCCTCAGTGGTGACTGTGGATTTCTTCTGAGATTAGCAGCTGATCTTCCGTTTGTATTTCAGGAGGCTCTTTGCAGAGTTGCCACTCACTGTGTGGCAGCTTCACTGCCTTTGTATGTGTGGGAGCTTCATGTGGCACGGGGAATGAGAGCTGGAACTCCTGAATGTAGAGCCTGTATTGAGCCCCTTGCACTATTTCTCTGATGCCACTTTTAGTTTTTTATTATATCTTCTGTTTGGGGGCCACACCCAACTGTGTTCAGGGCTTACTCCTGGCTTTGTGCTCAAGGTTCACTCCTGGCAGTACTTAGGGAACCACATCTGGTAACAGGGATTGAATCAGGGTCACCTGCATGCAAAGCAAGCTCCAGTTCCCTATCTTTATTTTAAAATCTTTTTTTCTTGATCGAAAAGTATGGAGTAGTTCATGAATTTGTGTGTCATCCTTGTGCAGGGGGCCATGTTAATCTTCTCTGTATTGTTCCAGTTTTGGGCTGGACCCATAGCACAGCAGGTAAGGAGTTTGTTTGTCTTGCATGCGGCCAGTCTGGGCTCGATTCCTCTGCCCCTCTCAGAGAGCCTGGCAAGCTACCGAGAGTATCTCGCTCTCACAGCAAAGCCTGGCAAGTGCCCCGTGACATATATGATATGCCAAAAACAGTAACAACAAGTCTCACAATTTGTTGTGAGATGCTACTAGTGCCCGCTCAAGCAAATCTACGAACAATGGGAGAACAGTGCAGTGCCATTATTCCAGTTTTAGTATTTGTACTCTCAGAGTACGTGTATCTGTTTTGTTTTGTTTTTGGGCCATACCTGACAAAGCTCCTTGCTTCTGACTCTGCTCAGGGATCAGTCCTGGTGGACTGGGGAACCATAATGGGGGTGCCCGGGATTGAACCTGGGGTGGCCACATGTAAGGCAAATACCCTACCTACTGAAGTATGTTCTGTCCCTCCGCCTCATCTTTATCTTTTTAAACACCAAATTTATAAAATCAAGCATTTTTTTTGCGGGGGGGGGGGGGGTGAACACACAACATAGTGATAATATAGTGGGTAGGGCATTTGCCCGGGGTTTTACTCCTGGCTTTGTGCTCAGCCATCATTTCCGATGAGATTCAGGGGACCATATTCTCCAGCCCCAAACAGTTAACAAGCTTCTGTACTAAAAAGTACTTATAAGTAGAAATGAACTTAACATCATTCAGTCATAGGGTGAATGCTTGTTGGAATAGTTTGTCAGGAACTTTCTTTGATTTTTATTTTATTTTATTTTATTTTTTTGCCACACCCGGTGATGCTCAGGGCTCACTCCTGGTTCTTCTCCCAGGGATCACTCCTGGTTGGGCTCTGGGGACCATATGAAGTGCTGGGAATTGAACCCGGGTTGGCTGTGTGCAAGGCAAACACCCTACCTGCTGTACTATCTCTACCGCCCCTGCCTTAAGTTTATAATTTGAAGATCTCAGAAGGATAGAAAGATACAGCTCAAAAGGCTGAATGTATGTTTTGCACGCTAGAGGTCCAACTTCAATTCTTGACACTGTATTAAAGTTCCCTGAATACCACTGAGAAAAAAAAATTGAAAAGAGAGAACCATAACCCTAAAAGGTTGGGAAGGAGAAAAGTTAGATATTCCAAGGCTAACTAGAATAAGACTCAAAATAGTTGCTATTTAGAACTAGGAAAGGAAAAGATGGTTCTGTGACTGAAAGTAAAATATTTGTATGGATGGAGGTCATTGTGTATGTACCAGATGTTTATAATAACGGCTCTAATATTGCTGGTAGTAAGTAGTATTTGTTATATCAGTTCTGTTGACAGAATTATGTGCTGTGTAAATCTACCACCAAATAATTCTTTTCAATATTGTTTTATCTTATGTTGAATGGAGTAGATCAATGTAATTGAGAAGGAAATAAAGTTCTTTCTTTAAAGTGTTGGGATTTCTGTGATTTATTTGATACATGTATATTAAGCATTTTAGTTATCTAGGATTGTGTCAGCATGATTAAGATCCAGTAAATTCAAGGATTAAACATTTTTATCAATACTATCTTGTGAGATTTTCTTTCTTCCTTTCCTTTCCCTCCCTCCCTCCCTCCCTCCCTCCCTTCCTCCCTCTCTCCCTCCCTCCCTTCCCTTCCTTCCTTCCTTCCTTCCTTCCTCCCTCCCTCCCTCCCTCCCTCCTTCCCTCCCTTCCTCTCTCCTCTTTCTCCTCCTCCTTCTTCTCTTCTTCTTCTTCTTCCTCTCTCTCTCTCTCTCTCTCTCTCTCTCTCTCTCTTTTGATTTTTGAGTCACACCCAGCAATGCTCAGGGATTACTCTTGGCTCTGTAATCAGGAATTACTCCTGGTGGTGCTTGGGGGACCATATGGGATGCCGGTGATTGAACCCGGGTCGCCTATATGCAAGGCAAATGCCCTCCCCACTGTACTATTATTCCCGTCCATCTTTCTTTTTAATTTTATTTTGGCCATACCGGAGATGCTCAGGGTTTATTTCTGGTGGATTTGGGAGACCATGCAGGGAGCCAGGGATTGAACTCAGATCAGCTGCGTGCAAGGCAAACTTACTACTTGCTGTACTCTCTGTTGTTCCTTCCATCCCTGACATTTTGTTTCTGTATCTATCATTCTTTGTGAGAATTTTTGTTACATAAAGACTTAAAATGCTATAATTGTTTGTGATAATCATGATAATCTTTATCCTTAACTATATTCGTCACCAAAAATATATTGCTTTTACCTCACTTAAATATTCAATAAGGCATGATTTTTGTTTTGTTTCGGGGTCATACCGTTCGCGCTCAGGGCCTACTCCCAGCTTGGTCCTGGGAAATTGCTCCTTAAGATTTTTTTCAAACAAGGAACCAAATCCAGGATTTCTGCATGCAGTGCTGTGCTCCAGACCTTTGAACCATCTCTGCAGTTTCATAAGTGTGGTTTCTGAACACTTGTGTTTCAACCTCTATTTTTCTCTCTCTCTTTTTTAAAGAGTTGGGTAAAAATACTACTAAGGAGATTTCAGGAAAAGGGCTCAAGTGGTGGAGCACATGTCTTGCATGTTTGAGGCCCAAAGTTCAGTCCCTGGCACTGCGTTGCCCCCTGAGTTATCTTGGTGTAGCCCTGGTGGATCCTGAGCACTGTGTAATATAACTCATGTAAAAAGAAGCTGCCAGGCCAGAGAGATATTATAGTGGGTAAAGTCCTTGCCTTATATATGACCGAGATCAGTTTGATCCCAAGCACCACATTTGTTCCCCATGAACCTTGCCAAGACTGAATCAGGAGCACAGAGCCTTGAACACAGCTGCCTGTGACACTAGACACTCCAGCCCCTTGCCTTCCTGCAAGAGAGGGTGGAGGGGAGCAGAAGGTGGGGAGGGAGAGGGAGGGGGCTGTTAAAGATGCATCTTACTCTAGAAACAAGCTGGGGAGAAATAGGTGTTAATTAAAGTTGGTATGACTACCCATGGGTTAGCGTAACAATACTACTACTGGGCAAGGATTACTGCTTATTAATCCTCTTGATGTACTTGGTGCCATTCAGATCATATAGATTAGTATTATGATATTTTTACTCTATGCTCAAAATACACAAGTTTGATCAAAATAATAGAGCTGCCTTTCATGGGGTTTTGCTGTGTGTCAGATGCTGTGCTGAGCACTTTGTTCTCAGCTTTCATAATCACCACCACAGCTGCATGAAGTAGGTGGTATTTCCCAGTTGAGAAGCTCAGACTAAATGGTTACAAACACATGGCTTCTTATTGCCCTGTTCATCACAGCCGAAGGAAACTTAATGGCTTAAGGAATATGACCTAGTCTTAGGGATTTATAAAAAAGGTTGGCATAGAATGCAAAATATGGGTTGAATACCGGGAATCATATAGTGGTTACAAAACTAGTCTATCTTGTGAGAATGACCCTTGGGATACATAGAGACCTAGAGATGGGAGTTCAACAAGGAGTAGGAATCCTGTAAGCTAGTTTAAAAGAGGGGCATTGGTGGAAAGTGTCATTTTTCTTTGGACCCAAGGATGTTGCATGTGTATGGATTTCATGAAAAATCAGGATTTATTTTTGCGTGTGTGCAGGGAGGGGTTTGGGCCATACCAGTGGTGCTCAGGGTATTGCTGGCTCTGTGCTCCAAGGATCACTCCTGGCAGTGCTTAGGGGACCATAAGAGGTGTCCGTAATAAAGAAATATACTTGCTCTTTTCTACCTTGCCTTGTCTTTCCACCACACATGCTCAACACAGGCTCATTAAAATATTTGCGTTCAAATTAATTTAAACTTAATTAATTTTGCTGTGCCAAGGATCAAATCTAGGACTTTCCACATACAAAGCTCTACCTTATGCATGCTCTACTACTGACTGTCATTCCTGGCCCAGTTTCAAGTTTTAAACGTTAAGAAAAGAAAGTAAGCTAAGATTGGATCAGGTATCCATTTGTCCTAGCAGGGAGAACCATCCATTGACTGTTTGGCTGAGGCTGCAAGTACATTCTAAGGAGAATATGAATAAACAGATGAATACGTTGGCTTCAGTTAGAAAACAGAAAAGATGGAGGTTGTGAAACTCACTATTGAGTATAGTATTTGAAGGACTCAGTACACAAGTTATGTGTTAAGTTTGGGGGTGGGAGGAACAATTGCAAAAGTAGCAGGGATCCAGGTATCAGATGGTGCTTGAAGTTAGGCAAGTCAAAGAGGTGTTGTCCAATCACCAGTAACTAGTTGATCATGTAAGCATTAAGGTGAAAATTCTTGGGTCTTAGGTTGATAATCGCCAGATGGACTTGAGAAATGATTGGACTAAGGAGCATGTGAGCTATGATAGATATTCGGGCGTACTTAGGGGTTTGATTGAAGTTCCCAGGGCCAAATAATTACATTTCGTATACTTACTTGCATAGAATCTAGTTGGATACTTACCTGGTAATAAGGTCTGATGTTGTCCATACCTAGCCTCCATGTACCTAGCCTCATAGGATCTGAGACTGATCCAGATCTCTCTCTCTCTCTCTCTCTCTCTCTCTCTCTCTCTCTCTCTCTTTCTCTCTCTCTCTCATATTATGACTCAATAAATTAGGACTTTTAGCAATATCAGTTGACATTCAAGTTTTTATAATGTTGCTTTCTGTATTTAAAAATAATTCTGGTATTCCACATTTTTCTTCTGCTTTCCCAAAGAAGTTTTTCCTTCTAACTGTATTTTGGGATTGAGCTGTATTTGAATAGTTTAGATATTCAAACAATCCTGTCAGGTTTCAGAAAAATGAATTTGATTTTAGACTGTTTGATTTCACCAAGATTAGGACTTTTGTCACAGATAAAAATATGTATGTTTATTCCTGGGTAAAAATACTCATTTCTTTTTTATACTCGGCATTACGTAGAGGTTAGTATTCCTAGCTTGGTGCTCAGGAATTACTCCCGGCAGTGCTTGAAGGACCATATGGGTTGCTAGGACTTGAACCCCGGATGACCGAGTGCAAGGCAAAACGCC